CAAAGTAATAAAAAAAAAATTCTCTGAAAGTTTTAGCTTTAAAAATTAAGATTTACATAGTCCGCAATTCAATTAAAAGTTTAATAAAAACTATTAACCTTTTATTAATCCTTGTGGGGACTGTTTAAACAAAATATTTATTCATCACGGCATCAAAATTAATTATTAAAATATTTATTTATTTAGTGATTTTGACACTCAAATTGTCAGTAATAAATGCCATCAAAATTACAAGTATGCTAACACAAATGGCGCAAGATTTTACTTAATAATGAAATATACAAAACTTTTATTTGAATTGCGGACTATCTAAATGTTAATACTAAGAGCTAAAACTTTCACAAAATTTTCTTTTATTACTTTGCAAGCATTTGAGACCTTGGGAGCAAAGAAATTCGAATGTGTCCATATTAAAAACCACCCTTAAATATATATTCTCTTTGATGACCTCGATATTTCGAAAACAATCTTACCTAGTACCTTTGACAATCCTAAATTCAACTCGATTTATCTTCATTTAAATAAAAAAATGCACAATTTTACTAACCAAAAAAAAATTAGTCAAAAAACAAAAACAAACTTACCAAACATAAACTTCTTCATGGTTAAAAACGTGTATTTAACTTCTAATAATAATTATTATATAAAATGGTTTAATTAAAAATGTGTGTGTGTGACTTGACTGCTTCTGGAACGTCGATTATAATTATAATTATTATTATGTAAATAATTGGCCTAATCAATTAGGTTTTAAGGGGATGATGATTTCTATATGCTAGAGCGATTAATATTATTATTTATTTTATTTAACAATGTAAACTAATTCAGTCCGTAATGGAAATTTGGGCGAAGCCGATTAGTGCCTTGTCGTCTGCCACTTCACCGCTGCTAAGTTCTGAATTCTGTAAAAAAAAAATACAAAAAAATGAAAAAAAAATCAATATACTAGTTGTGAGTGGCATTTTGCCTTAAGGCAAGTTAATACATAATCAATTAAAACAATAAGAATTGTGATCTATTTATGTTTATCTTTTTTCCACTTGACTCTAAAAAGTGTGAACTATACTAAATTCCATACAAAAATTTGGTTTCTTCAGACATCTTGGTTAGTACGTGTAATGAAATCTCATTATGGAAATTAATATACTAGTATACTGGTTTCGATACAAAATTGAAATTTCGACAGACATTCTGCATAGTGTTGGAGTGGAAATCTTTGTTTGGAAACTAGTATAGCATTATTATTTTTTGTTTAAAAAATTACAAAAATCAATATGCTAGTTGTAAGTGGCATTTTGCCTTCAGGCAAGTTGCTTAAACTCACCCCAATACAAAATCAACTTAATCAAAAAGAATCGAAATTTGTTTATATTTATCTTTTTCCTACTTGATTAAAAAAGTGTGAACTATACTGCATTCCATACAAATACGTAATTTCTTCAGACATTTTACATGGTTCGTGTGATGAAATCTCGTTATGGAAATTAGTATACAAGTATACTGGTTTTAATACAAATTTGAAATTTTCTCAGATATTCTGCATAGTGTTGGTTGGAAATCTTTGTTCGTAAACTAGTATAGAGCAATTTTATTTTTTTGTTTAATAAAAAAGAACTCTACTGACGAGCAAATGTCATTTTAGATCAAAAAAAAGAACTCTACTGAGGGCAAATTCACAAAATATTTACAAACAAAAATATTTGAAATTGTAAAAACCTTACTGATGAGCAATTTCACAGTTATTTGCAAATGTTATTTAGATTAAAAAAAGAACTCTACTGATGAGCAAATATCATTTTAGATAAAAAGAGAGAAAATCCACAAATTATTTACAAAAGATCATTTAAAATTTAAAAGAACTCTACTGACAAGCAAAGATCGTTTCAGATAAAAAATTAGCAATTTCACAAATTATTTACAAAAATCATTTAAAATAAAAATAAACTCTACTGACGAGCAAATTCTGGAAAATATTTGCAAAGTCTTTTAAGGTGAAAAGAACTCTACTGACGAGCAAATATCATTTTAGATAAAAAAATTAGCAAATCCACAAATTATTTACAAAAATCATTTAAAATTAAAAAAGGACTCTACTGACGACCAAGTACCATTTTAGATAAAAAAAGAGCAAAG